GCTCACCTGTGAAATGGGGATTCTGTATTTACCACACAGGCTGTTTTGAGAATCAGAGCCTGGCATGTGACAAGTGCTCAATAAATGTTAGTTATTATTGTTACTGTATAAACCTGTAGTGGTTTTTAAAAACACTTTAAACGGGGGAAATTATAGCATCTACTATCTAGGGCAGGGGTTGGCAAACTTTTTCTGTAAAGGGCTAGGTAGTAGATATTTGAGGTTTTGTAGGCCACATGATCTCTGTTGCAGCTACTACATTCTGCTGTTGTAGTGCAAAAACAACCATAAATAACATGTAAATGAATGAGCATGGCCAGTGTTCCAGTCAGACTTTACGTACAAAATCATGCCAGGGACTGGATTTGGCTTATAGGTATTGTGAAGATAAATGAGATATGGTTTAGAATAAGCCTAGCACAGTGGCTGGCACAGAGCACTCGCTACAAGAAAGGATTCTAATTAATTTATATCTGATTTTGAGATCTAGGCTTCACTCCATTCTCCAGGGGAAGGAAAGTATCCCTGATGGAGTCTTTTCAATAGAGGCATCATCCTCATTCTTTGCCCAAAGTCAAAGCTAAATGTTCATCTCAGCACCTGGAGCCTGGCAGTGCCATCACCTCCACCCTCCTCCAAGCACGGAGGTAAAATGCCAACCCATGGGGTGTGATTAATTCTCTTGTCACACACTTTGCTCCAGGATGTTTTGTCATTTTCAGCATCTGTCCCATGGAAATCAGGTTGCCCCATCTGAACCGTGATGTGAGAAACCCATTTATATCTGCAGGGTCATTAACCATGAGCTTTTGCATCCTCAAATATCTTTATCCCTCGCCTGGAGGCTGTATAATGTGGTTAAGAGAAAGAGAGAGAAAGAGACAGAAGGAGAGACAGACCTAGGTTTGGATTCTGTCTCTGCAATGTTTGAGTAGTGCAATGTTGGTCAAGTCACTTTCCTTCTCTAAGCTTCAGATTCATCATTTGTAAACTAGGGATTAAATGGGAAAATATATATAAAGCCTCAGCACAGTGTAACACACAAGAGCTATTGAACTTCATTTTGCAAACAAGAAAGTGATGCTAAGTGATAAAGGGGGCTCATTCAAGGTCATATAACCAGTGATTGGCCTCAGATCAAGGATCTCCGACTGGCCCTCAGCTGGTTGTCACCATGCCCCATCCCCTGGCCACTTCCAGGGATGGGACTCCTGCTGCTTCATGTGACTAAAGCTCTTGAAGAATGTGACATCACTCTGAGGTAGCATGTGAGCCTGTGACCATTCATCACTGCAGGGCTAAGTAGTGCTCTCCCAAAATTCATATCCACCCAGAACCTCAGACCTTATTTGTAATAGGGTGTTTGCAGAGGCAATTTAGATAAAGATTGGCCTGGCTACCGTGGCTCAGTTGGTTGAGTGTCGTCTTGTTTCTCTCTCTCTCCCCCTTCCTCTCTCTCTAAAAATTAATAAAAACATTTTTTAAAAAAGATAAAGATCAGCCCTAGCCAGTTTGGCTCAGTGGATAGAGCGTCGGCCTGTGGACTGAAGGGTCCCGGGTTCAATTCCGGTCAAGGGCAAATGCCCGGGTTGCAGGCTCGATCCCCAGTAGGGGGCGTTCAGGAGGCAGCCAATCAATGATTCTCTCTCATCATTGATGTTTCTATCTCTCTTTCCCTCTCCCTTCCTCTCTGAAATTAATAAAAATATTAGAAAAAAAATAAAGATCAAAACAAGATCATAGTGGACTATGGTGGGCCCTAAATCCAATGAGGTGGGAAAGGGCAGAGAAGGACACATAGAGCTACAGGGATGAAGGCCATGTGAAAACAAAGGCAGAGGTTGGAGCAATGCTGCCACAAGCCAAGGGTTGCGGGAGCCAGAAGGATCTGGAAGAGGCAAGGAAGAGTCCTCCCCTACAGCCTTTGGAGAGAGTGTGGCCCTGCAGACACCCGATTTGGGACTTTGGCATCCAGAACTGTGAAGGAAGACCTTCCTGTTGTTTTAGCCACCCAGTTTGTGGTGAATTGTTCTGGCAGCCCTAGGACTTGTAAGATGCGAATAATTAGGGTATTGGACTTAGAACACCTGTCTGGGCAAAGGACAGAGATGATGAGTCAAGGAGTGTGCATTGTGGAGGCACACATGTGCTCAGCTTTGAGCTTTTGTTTCCTTAATCTGTAAAAAAGAGAACATCCCAATCCTGCTGGCTTGTGGGGAGGATAAAGAGATGGCATGAAAGAGTGGGCCCAGTGGTGATAACCAAAATGATTGTAACCATGCATTGAGCATGGCATGCCTCTGTTAATTCAGTTCTCACAACTGCCCTTTCTGGCTGGGTCTCTTAGTATCCTCATGTTACAAAGGAGGAAACTGAGTCATGAGAGGTTAATTAAGACCACACAGCTAGTGAGAAGCAGAGCTGAGACTCAAACCCAGGCCACCTGACTTCAGAACATCCCTACCTCCCATCCCTAAATCACCACCACCCTATATCGTCCTGTGCTCAAAGTTGGTGCTCCTTGAAGCTGGTCCTCTAGCCTAGTTGGAACCCAGGACACAGTAATGCTCAATTCATAATAATATTTTAATCTTGTTTTTTCTCCTATCCTCCTTCCTCAAGCCAGGCCTTTTGATTAGTGGAGAGGTGGATTGAAGGGTATGGCAATTTACCAAAAATCTGACATCTAGTGAAGAACTCTGGGTCAGGAGATTCCCACAGATGACAAAGCAGTTGTGCAGGCTTTTGGGAGTGGGGCCTCTTCTGAGATCCAAGCAGGCAGGAACTAACTTAGGGAGGTCTGTAATCACAGTCCCTGGGCAGGTGTACTGGGTCAGGGCTCCAGGTTATAGAAGGGAGACAGGTAGAGAGGAGGCAGCTTTCCAAACCACTGGCTGGGATGTAAGGAAAAAGACAAATGCAGGGTAGCAGCACTGAGGGGCCAGGTGTGGAAGGAGTTAGCCGATGTAGGTGATGTGATGTTGGCCTTAGAATGGAACAAGAACATCCCCTCCCCTGGGACTCTTTCTCTACCTAGGAAAGGCCTTAGAATATTGCATCCTTTGCAGGATTCCCTCTGGAAATGTGGGCTAAAGGAATCTCTTAGATGCACGCAGAGATTTAGTTTTGAGAATGCTCATCACAGGCCTGTTTATAGTGGGGAAAAATAGAAAACAACCTAACTTTCTGGGGGTTGGTGAAGTGATTCATGATACAGCCACAAATAGAAAACTACACAGCCTTTCACACTGCTGCTGGGGAAGAACATCTGAGGACGTGCAAAAATGCTCACGATATGTTATTAAGTAAAAAAGAGCAGGTAGGAAAATGTGAGACCCTAACTTTATACAGTATGACAAAAACCAGACCTTTAAAATAGTGAATGTGTCTATATATATAAAAGCCAAGTGATCAGAATGACCAGAACAACTGGTCACTATGACGTACACTGCGGCCGGCCAACTGGCCCAATCAGGGGCGAAGCCAGTCAACCAACCTCCACAGCACGAATTCGTGCACCAGGCCTCTAGTATATATATAATCCTATATAATAAAGAGCTAATATGCTAATTAGACCAGATGGCAGAACGACCTTCCAGAACCACCTTCCAGAACCACCTTCCGTGACCAGTGGGTAGGGGGTGGGGCGCAGGGCTGTGAGGCAGCCGGGACTGTGAAGGCCTACCCTTGCACAGATTTTGGGCATTGGGCCTCTAGTTGTATATATGTGTGTATGTGTATATATACATATATATGTAGTGTCTTTCTCTATATAGATGATAATGTATATGTGGTAATATATATGGTTATATATGTTTTAAGTATGTTTTTAATATATAGCAATATATACACTGAGTGGCCAGATTATTATGACTGGCCAGATTATTATGACCACCCCATCAGTACTTCGTTGGGCCACCTTTTGCCTTCAATACTGCGGCGATTCTTCTTGGCATTGACTCCACGATATGTTGAAAGGTGATGCGAGGGATCTGACACCATGCCTGATGAATAGTACTGTCCAGTTCTGTGAGATTTGATGGTTGTGGAACCAGCTGCCTGATGGCTCTTTTAACTTTGTCCCACAAATGCTCAATTGGATTGAGATCTGGTGATTGTGGGGGCTACCTAAGCAAGGTAAAGTCTCCCTCATGTTCTTGAAACCACTCCTGCACAATACGAGCACCGTGGCATGGCGCATTGTCTTGTTGGAAGAAGCCATCTCCATTGGGATACACCATCAACATAATAGGATGAACTTGATCAGCAACGATACTTAGGTATGTTGTGCTATTCAGACGTTTATAATGGTCTGGCCCTCTAGCAACTTCAGCGTGAAATTATAGCTAATTTGCCTACAAACGTCAGGTGGTCATAATAATCTGGCCACTCAATGTATAACTAACTATAAATATAAAACCAGATGACTTTCCATCAAAATGTGGATAGTGGGTCTCTCTGGGGATTGTGGGAGTGGAGGACTTTTTACCTTGTTATTTTTTGCCTGTCTGTATTACCTGAATTTTCTACAACAAACTTGTATTATTTTATATTACTCTTGCTTACATTACTGAGTATTCCTGTAAGGTGATAATTAATGGTATTACTATAAAATAATTATTATAAAACTTTCTTCTGTTTAAAGTTGAACTTGGTCTTGGGGCTGGAACCTGGCAAAGTGGCCATGGTTTGGGGGAGCAGAGACTCAGGAGCCGGGAACAGCCAGGGACTGTCAAGGCCACAGACACTATCGTGAGCAGGTTTTGGTGAGCCCACCTGAGCCTCCATGTGCCATCATAACAGCGTTCCCACTGAAAAATGTGTTTTCCAGTTTCCAAAGGGCCTTCTGGAAAACACACACGTGCAGTGAAAGCTGAGATCCGAGTGCCTTTGCGTGTGTGAAGGTCACTGGGTCGAGTCTGGTCCCTGAAATGAGGAAATCCTTGCAAACCAGTGTACACTTGGGGCCTTGACCCCTGCGTTTCATGTCTCCCACACAGGTCAGCTGGACATCATCTCCATGGCAGAGACAACCATGATGCCAGAGGAGATCGAGCTGGAAATGGCGAAAATCCAGCGTCTCCGGGAAGTTTTGGTCCGACGGGAGTCAGAGCTCAGGTTTATGTGAGTGTCTGGGGAAGCAGCCGAGAAAAAAAAGGGGGGTTCAGGGGGAGGATACCTGAGAAGCTAACATTTACTGTTTATTACTGCATGCCAGGCACTGCAATAAAGGCATTAGGTACATTACCAAAAAAAAAAAAAATCTCATTTGATTCTCACTACCGCCTAGAGAAGTAGGTATCATAATCTGGTGTTTTAAACAAGACCCTGAAGTTGGATTGAATTCAGGACAGTCTGACTCCAAAGCCTAAGCTCTTTCTATGTTTCATTGTGAGGAGATGTGGAAGGAGACAGACGGGGGTGGGGAGAGGTAGGGGTGGGGGTGTGGTGGGGACCAGAGGTGGTGCCCTGTGCTGGGGTTGTTAAGAGCACACACTTTGGGTTCAGATAGGCCTGAGATTTTTAAAAACAATGCTGGGTGAGATTGGGCAGGTTATTTAGCCTCTCTTCATTTGTAAATTGGGGGGAAATAATAATACCTCTCTCCTGGGATCTTAGCAGCCTTAGAGTCACATAATTTGAAAATCTGTTGTCTACAGAGCACAGCATTCCTGAACAATTACAGGTAGTCTTTTTAAAAAACTATAATTTTAAAAATTGAACTCTGAAGAGAAACAGTGAGAGTTTAAAAGCAAAACAAAACAAAAACAGACCGTTTAAGAGAAAAATTTCCTACACCGCCTGTCAGCTCCCAACACAAACTCCACTCAAAGAAGCAGCAACATGACACATTCCAGGCATGTGCTAAGCTCCTCTCACCCATTCTGTCACCTGTTTCTCTTAATGCCATGAGGCCGGTTTTGGTTTTATCTCAGTTTGTGGATAGGGAAACTGAGGCTCAGGCAAGTTAACTTGCTCAGGGCCTCCCAGCTAGTAAACGGGGGAGTTAGGATTGAGATCCAGCTCTTCCTGCTTTCAAAACCCATATTCTCACACTTACATTTTATGCCCTTCTTTCTCACCCCATGAAATGGACCTCAGTATTAATAGTGGCCATTTATGTAGCTCTCTGTATGGGCCAGACCCTGTGCTAAATGCACATGCACGATTCCTTCTCATGGGAGCCCTTAGAGCAGTGGTTCTCAACCTTCCTAATGCCGCGACCCTTTAATACAGTTCCTCATGTTGTGGTGACCCCCAACCATAAAATTATTTTCGTTGCTACTTCATAACTGTAATTTTGCTACTGTTATGAATCGTAACGTAAATATCTGATATGCAGGATGTATTTTCATTGTTACAAATTGAACATAATTAAAGCATAGTGATTAATCACAAAAACAATATGTAATTATATATGTGTTTTCCGATGGTTTTAGGCGACCCCTGTGAAAGGGTCATTTGACCCCCAAAGGGGTTGTGACCCACAGGTTGAGAACCGCTGCCTTAGAGGAAGGTTCTAGAACATCTCCCACTTTACAGATAAGAAACATCCTCTCTTTCATCTGGTAATATGACAAACTAATACATGGGTATTTGGAAGCAATCCCTTCCTCCCCATGGTTTTTTCCTCCCTAAAAGAATTCGGAGTATTGTCTGTATGGGAGAAGTATCAACTCAGACCACATGTTCTATTAGGTCAGGTGGTTCCAACAACTGAGATTGCCAAGATTGGACATGATGACTTTGCAATGCCTGGGGGTTAGCAAGTGGACATGAGTGACAGGAAGTTCTGCTTCTGAGTTTGGCGTGTAGGGGAAACCACTGAACTAAAAATACAGATTAGGGGCTCACCTGGATATTGGCAGTTACTGAATTCAAGTAATAGGTACAGTCACCCTACATAAAAGACAGTGACAATCCAAGTATAGGATCTGGGGAATGCTAAAATCTCCATGCTGCTCCTCCTTATGGATGAAGTTGGGTTAAGGGGGAAAGCCAGATCTCAAAGTTTTTGTGAAAAAGTGAGGAATAACTGAGAGTTCCCTGGCAACAAAAAGGTTTGGGATTATCATAGTCTATAAATAATACATATCATATACCACATACCATAGAAGTGACCTATGTTAATAGTATTGGTTTTTATTAATTAATTCTGGTGGATATTTTTATGACTACTATTTCATTTATTAATATATAAACAGTCAGGATGTACTAACTCCCTCTTACAAATAATGATGAAATTAGTACCTGGGTCTTGCTTTTGCATCTGTTTTCTTTTTTCTGTTTCCAATTTTTACTTCTTATGTTCTCAAAGAGTATAACATTTCTAAAACTATAATTAAACTACTGTTCTTATCTATAGATTGTTTCTAACATAAAAAAACACATCACTGGCATTTACAATACCCTCCCTGTGCTTTAAAAGGAAGGAAGACAGAGAACATGAATTTTGCTTTAAGGTACAGAAACCTGCAGGTGCTCAAGAGGGGCCAGAGGTTGCTTTTGCTGCTGCAAGGAACAAAGGCTGTCTCTTTGCATTCACTGACCTCTGCATCATGTGCGTGTGTGTATGCACACGGGCGTGCATGCATTATTCCCAGCATCTGGCACATGCCTGGCACATAGCAAGTGCACAGAGACAGCCATAGGTAACCTGTAAGTTCGAGCTCTGGGCCAGCACTGCACTAAGCTCTTGACTTACGACCTCGCTGAATTTCCCCATCGTGACTCTGAGTCTAATCACTTAGGGATAAATGTCAACAGTAGACACTTGAATAAATCAAATTATCTAAAGGTTCAGGAGGATGTCAGTGTAGTCAGGATATAGAGCGTGGCTTAGACATTCTCCAGGGGAGGGGCCAGCTTCCAGGCCCCTGGCGTCTCCCTAGCAGCCTGCAGACAACAGTGGATGATAATGACAGCCCCCCACACACCCCTCAGGTCTAGCCTGGTACAGAATGTAGCCTTGCCTGGGGGTGCACTCACCTCATCAATCTCAGAGGTGCACGATGGGTTCTAGGATGGCCAGGGTAGAGATCACAGCCTATTCAGACCTGGGCAAAAGCCTCATCTATCATCCTTGGCCTCCCGGGCTCAGAGGCTGTGCATGGGCCATTCTTGAATTCAGTTTCCTGGCTGTTTCTCAGATCTAGGCCCTCACATTCGCTGTAGGTCTAATCATGTAGATGGGTCCTATTCTTGTTTCCATTTTAGAGAAGAGGGATTAGAGGTTAAAAATTTGCCTAAGATTGCATTAGCTAATAAGTAGCCAACCAAGCTAGGATGCAGTCTGACTCCAGAGTATTTATTAAATGAGGGAATGCGGGGTGGAAGGAAGAAAGGAGGGAGGAAAAGAGAGAGGGAGGGATGGAGGGAGGGAGGGAGGGAGGGAGGAAGGGAGGGAGGGAGGGAGGGAGGGAGGGAGGGAGGAAGGGAGGAAGGAAGGAAGGAAGGAAGGAAGGAAGGAAGGAAGGAAGGAAGGAAGGAAGGAAGGAAGGAAGGGAGGGAGTTCTGAATATATCTACCAAGATAATTCCTTAAAGAGCATAAGCTCCATGAGGGCATGAATCTTATCCACCTTCCACATGTATATCTTCCCAGCATCTTGAACAGTACCTGGCACTTATTAAACAATTAATATTTGTTGAATGTGCAATAAATTTTTCTTTCATACTCCATTCTTACCCCAACAACTTCCCTTTACACACAGGCATGCTCGTGCACACACACGCACACACACACACACACACACACACACACACACGCACAACTCTTGGCTTAGAGTAAGAGGGGAAATACAATTTCAGACCGTACTAAGCAGTTACTGCCTCAAGTGAGGAAGCTCTGAGTGACAGGAATGACAGCCCTTGGCTAAAGCAGTCCCAGTGACTGTAGCTGTAATAACAGGGATGAATTGGCTTTGTCACACCTGCTCGGAAGTAATCAAGTTAATACCCATCAGCTCCCGTGGAGACTGTGTGAGTCAGACCGTATTTCATGGTTGAGAGTGTCTTCTCACTTTCATGGTCTCCTGCTTTGTCGACTCTTTTAAGAACAGATCTAATGGCTGCTACCCCAACACACCCAACGTTTAACATTATTCTTCATGGGTTTCCCTTTTCTTGCCTTGCCCTTTCCCCTGGGACTCACAGCCTCTGATGGTTCTCTGTGTCCTCTCACCAGAATTGTGGGGAAGTAGAAGAGGGGGATTTACTCATTTCCAGGGAGCTAGGGTGAACTCATGAGAAGTGGACTTAGGAGTCATCCTGGCTCTCCCACGCCCTGGGTCTGGACCTTGGGCACGTGACAGAGTGCTAAGAACTGCTGTTTATCAAGGGCACTGATATGCCACACACATGCTGCATGCATTATGTGCGTTAGCTCACTTATTTTAGTTTATTGCATCGTCACAAGAACCCTGAGGGGGTGGGATTCTATTCCTTCTACTTTATGGATGAGGAAGCTGAGATTAGAGAGGTAAAATAGCTGGTCTGAGGAACTGGGATTTGAGTCCCAGGTATCTGTCCCAGAGGCAGAACCCTTTGCTCTAATTTATTATCTTTATTCCCAACACAAGGACCCCTTTTCTGTTTGTCCAGCTCCCCTAGAATGCAAAAGCAAACTTCTGCTTGGGTGCCCACAATCCCACACAGTCCCACGATTTGTCGTATTCCAGCATCTGGAATTAGGTGTAGTGTAGAGGAATCTCCTGAGTCTGGCTTTGGGCTTCTCCGTACCCTTTCCCTGGAGATCAATGACTTGTTTGGAGCCTAAAATGATGAGATCCAACTTGGAAAGTTACAGTTTGCTGTAGTGTCCTATTCCTATGGGGTCCTTAGGGACCGCAATAGTCAACATTTATTGAGCCCTTGCTACAGGCCCAACCCTGTCCTAAGCCCTTCCCACACATTATTACATAACCTACGGAAAGTGCTTACTAATGGGAGGACGAATCAGGAGCACCTCCAGCATACCTGCTTACCCTGGGTAAGGCCCATGAAGTCAGGTTCAGAGAAGGGTTATGCGTGACCGCGGCGGGTACATGTACCGCACACACAGTGCATCTTCTCTCATTGTCTTCCCTTCGCTTGTCCTCTGGTTTCCAAGTTGCTAAGTGGCAT